CCCTCTCTCCCCCCCCCTTACATGAAAACCAACGAAAGACTGAGGTGCCATTCAAGAATATATTAATCAAAATCATGAATGAGTTTTTTGTTATGACACTCAAAAAAATAATAAACCATATCATACCACTCACCATAAGCTTGTCAGAATATCTATGACAAATAAATCTTAATGCTATAGACGAATAAAAGTTGTTACTGATTGTACTGCACATACAAAAAATCGGGCACTGAAGTCTACCGAAGTGACGGCAAAGTCTAGCCAATGTGTGCGTGAAGTGAATGTAATGTGTTAGGTGGTGGAGGAAGTTCAGTGATGACAACAAGAAAGGAGAGCTATGAGTTCAAGCCTCTTGTCTTTCAACCTGTAAGACCTCGAGGCAACTTAAAGGATGGTGAGATGATAGAATTCTCTATTCTTGTTTATGAAATATCGTGATGTGTAGTACAGTCATCTGCTTCGAGGTAATGTGGTTTATCGTGGGTGTCACTCTTGATGTACAGGTGCGATTTGTAACAGCCATTCCGGAACAACTGTATAACAGTTTTATATTTTATATAGGTATTTCAAGCATATTTCTGGTTGTTTTTTTTCAAGCATATTTCTGATTGTTTTTTATTACAGGTATCCGTTGTTTTTGCCAACGATTATAACATTGTATGATAACATCCATCAGTGCTAGGTTCTTTGTTGAGTTGATATAATATATAATAACAGCTAGAACTTAGATGAAATGCTGCCTTCCATGGGAATTCAGAGATGAATTAAAGGAAAGATTTATGGGCGCCTGTGTCACCTCAGTTCCAGTGTGAAGATGGCTATAGCAGTTCCCAACCTAGTACTTGGCAGTGCTCATACTAGATGGCAGTTTTCGACTAAACAACTTTGAAGTGTCACTTTTCTCTATAAATGTCATATTATATGATATTGGTTTTATGATTTTGGGAGTTTTTAAATAAAGAAACCACTTGACTCTCACGATGGTAGGGGCATGGAGACTTGTTACTCAAAAATCAAAATTGAATTTGGATCACAACACATGTGCCATGAGTTGAATATCAAATTTCAAAGTTTGAGCTTTGATATGTAGTATTTTATTATTTACTTGTATTATGGACATGTAATAACTCTCTTCAAAAATTAAAGTGCCTGTTATTTGTAAAATACCTTAATAGGTATTGATAAGATTTTAATACAGTTCATTTATCCAGGGACACCTTTGCCAATGCCAAGGAGTGGACATCGCATTGTCTGCTTTGGACTCTCCTTTTACTCTTTTGGAGGCTACAACCCAAAGATAACCACCAGTGAATACCCTGATGACACATGGCAGAGAACACACCCACTTTTCCAGGAGGTAAAGTGTTGCTTTCTCCTTGATGCTCCTTCTCTCTCTCTCACCTTTCTCTGTCTGTCTGTCTGTCTGTCTGTCTCTCTTGCTCTCACTCTCACTCTCACTCTCTGTCTCGCTCTTTCTCTCTCGCTCGCTCGCTATCTCGCTCTCTCTCTCTCTCTCGCTCTCGCTCTCACTCTCTCTCTCTCTCATACAAGAGCTCTCTCACACTCTCTCTCTCTCTCTCATACAAGAGCTCTCTCACACTCTCTCTCTCTCTCTCACACTCTCACTCTCTCTCTCTCTCTCTCTCTCTCTCTCT